GGTTTAGAAACAGAATTGGAAATGGAATCAAGATAAAGATTGCAAGTTACAAAGCCTCACAATAAAGTTAGTCTCAGAGGATCTGAATGAGAGTATTCCCTATACCAGTATTCTAAGAAACTTCTTCACAAAAGGGTAGGCCTGCCCCCTGCCTACCACTGCTCAGCACAAGGAAGCAGAGCGGGTCACCAGGAAACGGGTGGAGCTAGTGGGCTCTTCGCCTCCCTGGTGCCACCACAGTCCTGCTGCCGTGCCTGCAGCAGAACTTTTTACCAGGACTATATGTCAGGATACCAGCCCTAGTTTTACCCCCAGACTCTAGTACAACAGGTCTGGGGTGTCCCCATTAGCTAGGGTGCTGCATGAATACCAATAATTTGATGCATATCCCAATTTATGAGCCACTGCCCTGAGTTTAACACCATGTGCCAGGCTTCAAGGAATTCAGTATCTAAATAATAGACATGATCAATAAAAGAACTACTTAACTAACATAAGAGGATGAGAAAGAGCGCTCCAGGAAGGGGAGTGAGCAAAGGTGACCAGAGTGTGTTTGAATGTACAAGCACCTTTTGCTACCAAATTGGACAGAAGGGTTTGTATGGAGAAATCAGGAAGATGAGGCAAGACTTAAGGATACGGCGAAGAGCTGTAGCATAGGGCTGGGGACCGAGATTTAGGACCTCCAACCTAAGACAACCCAGAGTTTTCTCACAACTAGAACTGCCTAGCAATGAAGTCCATTACCTTCTTACTGGCTGTGCCTATCCTTGAGGTATCTGTCCAAGGAGTATCTAGGTAACTTTTGTCTGCCTAAATGATAAGATAATTCTAAAAATCATATTCTACAATTCCATGATATTTGTAATTTAGGAGATATGTGGAGATGTTCTATGGAGACAAAAAATTCAATTTAGTATCTGATTTGTTCTAGCACTGGATTCTTAGATTCTTCAGAAAGTGGGAAATGAGGTTAAGAATCAGTCCTTCTGGATCCACTTTTAAGTTCAAAGTTGTTTGACATGACAACGAGTTCCTAAAGGCTAAGTTCAGGACTTCCAGTGGCACTGTATGTATGAATTTAAGAACAAGCGGCTGTTGACAGATGAAGTTCAAGACATGGTTTGAGTACACTAGCTCAGACTGAGGAATGGAGGAAGCCCAGCCCAAGCAGCCTATGCATCTAAACTCCAGAACCGAACAGCGCTGCCCCTATAGATGTTTGTATCTTACCAGCTCTAACCAAGTAACAAGCAACCATAAAGTCTCAGAGCACATGACAATAAACCTTTATTGCTTGTGCATCTACAGGTCTGCTGGAAGTCAGGTGATCTAGATGAGGTTTGTCTAGAAAGCTCTACAGCTCAACTCAAATCAGGTCCACTTCTTACATTAGGGGACCCAGGCTGAAGGGCCAGCAGCTCCTCAAGGGCAGCTCTTCTCAAGATGACAGAGGCGTAGGAGAGCATACCCAGTTGCATGCCTGAAGCACATTTAAAGCCCTGCTTGTATCATGTCTACTAACATCCTCTTGACCAAAGCAAATATAGGGCCCAGCCCAAAGTCACAGGGTAGAACAATGTACTCTTTCCACAGAGGGGCAGGTAAATCGGGAGTGAAGATTTGAGCAATAATCCAACCTACTGCAAGGTCTACCCAGTTTCTTTCTGACCATGGTGGCTGTCCTTTCCCAGGCAGCCTCAGGGTGGAGAGGCAATTCCTGGATTACCTTCCCTGTTCCTTGGGGGCAGATCATGATTCATTCCATTTACTCTTTGCAGATTATTGCTCCCCCAGAGCGGAAGTACTCGGTCTGGATCGGAGGCTCCATCCTGGCCTCTCTGTCTACCTTCCAGCAAATGTGGATCAGCAAGCCCGAGTATGACGAGGCAGGGCCCTCCATTGTTCACAGGAAGTGCTTCTAAAGTCAGAAGAGATTCTCTGGGAATCTCCTTGAGACTGCTCTGTTACCAATCACAAAACATTAAAACTTTCAAGCTTTACTTCTCTGTTGGGGCTTTTTTTTTCTCCAGTTCTGTCTCACACATTTTACTAAGGACTTTTCACATCTTTCTTCTATCTACACATTGACCCTCTGTGGTAGGTACTATTATTATCCCCATATTACAGATGAGGAAATTGAGGCTCAGAGAAGTTAAGGTCTTGCTGAAGATCACACAGAACCAGGATTAAAATCCAAAGTTAGTACTTCTCCTATACTGCCCTGTTTCCTTTTCCTTGAACGTGAGTAACAATAAGGGCTAGAAAATTGAGGGGACGGGGGGAGTTAGAGCAGTAGGTAAGAAACAAGGCCTTTCAGCGGTTGTGTCCTCATACTCAAAGGTGACACACGGAGAACATGAATGGAAAGAAAAGCACAAAGCCTATAGGATGATAAATATAAGTGGTTCAAACACAATGTTATTGAGCTTAGTGAAGGAAAGTCACGGTGGGCTTAAGATCGCTGAGATCCATTTGTTATTATTAGACTGCATTTTGCCCCAAAAGCCAATCAAGAAAGTAGCACACTGTCAGCAGCTCTATTAATGAAAAAGTATCTTCTCTCCCCTTTTGTTCCTCTCCTTCTTCCTCCTCCTCTTCCATCTTGTCTCCCTGTGTCTATGTCTTTCATTATTTGCCCCCTCCACTCCCTGCCCTTGGTCAGTTTGTTTAATTTCATAAGTATTTACTGAATTTGGATCATCTAGAATTGCTGGGTATGGCCAAGTGGGATTTTTGTACTAGTCAAAGATTATTCCTGCCAATCAGGGTCTCATTGCAAAAAGAGACAATGATTTGAGATGAAACAGAAGCACCCACAAAGTACAATGAAACAATAAGGAATGATAATAATAGCTAACATTATTGAGTGCTTATAATATGCTAGGCATTAGGTTAAGAGCTTTATGTGGATTTCCACATTTAATCCTCACCACACCCCTATAAGGCAGGATTAGTATCAGTACCATTTTATAATGAATTTCTTTTGACTAGATCACTTATCTAGTTAATTCCAGAATTAGGTCCTCACTTCTGCCTGATTATGTACCCTTTGCTCTCTCCACCTAGTCAGGTCCCATCTTTGACTCCACTAAGCAGATCCCACCAGGTCCATGAACTTTCCCAAACACACCTATTTGGAGACAGTGAAGCAGGAACCTCAACTTCAGACATTTTTCCTCCATTTTTCCTCCATCCCTTCACTTGCCCTCTGGAGTCGGTTGTTTTAGGCCGGATTTCCCAAGCAGACCTGGAATGGCACTTCACATCCAAGTGATTTATTAAAGAAGTGCTCTTAAGAGAAACTGCTAAGTACAGTAGGGGAGGCAAAACAGGAAAGGGGAGGAGTCCGGGGGTGGGGGTGGGATCTTCAGGCAAAGTCCCCAAAAGGTGGCTTCAGCCTGAACCTCAGGGAGCTTTAGAGTATAAGCCTGACTGAGGCAACAGAGCCAGGCTTTTCACTGTCGCTTCTGCAATTAGTGGTGAATGTAGGTGTACCCTACACGGAAGGGGGGCGGAGGAGAATGACGTGAATTCACAGAGTTTCCACCTGTGCAGGGAAGTGGTTCCAGTAGGTTGAGGGCAGTTCTGCAAAGTACAGTCACAGACCCGGGCTATTGGAGGATTGGGGGATGTAGGGGTGGGTGTTGGGGGCATATAGGGAGGCGGCGCGCTCGCTCCCCTCCCACCCAACTGCCCCCGCACCCCCGACTTGGCAGGATCGGAGGAAAAGTGGGGCGCTGACACTTCTTCCCATGCCCCTTGCAATCAGAGCGATATTTTGAAAATCTCCCATCTCCAAAAGTGCTGCCTGAATGTCTGTTTGCCTGTATACACCCGATTTGACTCTTACGGTTTAATCTTGCAAGGTGAAGCACCCTTTGATAATATTTCATAAATCATTAATTCTGGAGTCGTTATGACAATGGGGTGTGGCAGGACAAAGCCTGTCAGGGCCTCACTCAGTGCCAGATGCTCAGAACTGTCCCTGTTCCTTTGCAGAATACAGTTCTTTAATAGTAGGTTTCCACTCGTACTTACCAGCAAGTCTCTGTACCCAAGTTCTCACCCTTTCACAAATCCCATTCACATGTCCCACCTCCGCCTAATCCGCCCTCACGGCAGCTCACCCGGTCATTGTTCAGACCCACACAAGCCAATCTATCCGGTTTAAACGAGTTCCATCTCATTTCTGAACCTCTACCCACTTATCTTAATGGGATTTTTGGTTATTATGCAAATCGACTGAGCGAACATTTATTCATTCAAGAGACAAAATAAGGGGTGGGGTGCAGTTGAACTAATTTGTTGATTATTCAGTAATGTACCAGCTTGTGCTGCGCCCTAACAAGGAATGAAGAAAAGTTAATTTGCGCAAATCATCAGATGGCGTCATTTTCATACTCAAAGCCGTCCAATTTCTTCCCATGTTAGAATATTTTGCTGGAAAACAAGAACCCTTGTTTAAAATTACAATTAATTTGGCTTGTCTTTAAAGTCACATAAAAATGCAATGGTGATGCTATTGTCCTCTTTTTTCTTTTAATTGGAGTAACAATGGTTTACGACACCGATGATTCAGAAATACTGGCTCTCACCTCTAGCGATGTGTTAGTACACCCCACCCAGCACCCAGGCACCAGTAGTCCTCGACCGCAATCCACTGTGCCCTCCCACCTTTGCTCCCCACCGACCCTCCCGCGCTGGTAACCTCAGTTTTACGATTATATCTCTTTCTAAAATTTATTTGTCCAATTAACAAAACCGAAGGGGCTAATCTCGCCCTTGCGAGTCCAGTTAGCAACAAACCCTCCCCCACCCCTGAGGACTTCCTGCAGCCACGCTTCTCCACAAACGTCGCGATATCAAAGTGTTCGCTTTTGACCCCCTCGACCCCACGACCCCACCCACTTCCTGCCTGGCGATCTCCTGACGTCAGATGCGCGCCGGAGCGCGTGAGGGCGGTGTCGGGGGCGGAAGTGCTTTCAGCGGAAGTGACATTTGCGCGAATCGTGGGTGGGATGACGGCGGGCCGGCTCTTTCTAAGACTACTGCGAGCACCCTCCACTTCCATGGCTCAGAGCCCACTCGAGGGCGTGCCCCCTTTCAGGGGTCTGCACGGGGAGCGCGGGCTCCGAAGTCTCTCCATCGAAGGCAACATTGGTAAGGGCCCGAAAGTGGCTGCCCTGCCTTGGCCCCCACGGACCAGGTGCCTGAGAGGCCGGGAAAGGGAGCTGGACCCCACCTGATCCTGCGGGGCTGCTTATTCAGAGTTGCTAGGGCCTTTCCCCTCCCAAAGTGTACTGTTGGCCTTTGCCTCTGATTTTTAGGGCTTCAGGCCTAAGTACTCGCCCACGGGGGTACATTTGTTGGGCCTTAAAAGCCACGCAGACTGTAGGTAGGCTAAGTTCTAGTTTGTTTTGATATGTCGAGGTGGAAATGACAAAGAGTAAAATGCTTGTTCTCCTAAAATAGGGTTGCTAGATTTAGAAGAAGAAAAAAGATACACGTGTCAAATAGGATTTCAGATAACTAATAATTTTTAAGTATGTGTCCCATGCAGTATTTGGGGCACACGTACGCAAAATTCATTCGTTATCTCAAATTCAGATTTAACTAGGTGTCCGGTATTTTATATGGCAGCCCTACTCTTAAGACGGTTTCTAAACTTGTCATTCAGTTTAACTAGTGCTAGTCCCCCATTTCTTAACGTTTTTCTTTAAAAGTGTATAAATTATAATTAAAAATTAACTGTTACAAGAGTAGAGACACAGATTCGCAAAAGTAAAAAAAAAACACAAAAGTTTCAGTTTAATGTAACTAAGTCCTGAGTTGATACTTTTAAGTACTAGGGTACTGAACCCTGCAGGGGATCAGCAAAGGTTGAGTATTGAAGATATACTAGCAATAAATCGAGAAGTTCTCATTTTATTCATTCAACAAACAACCTTTTGAGCCATTTCCACATGCCAGCACTGTTCTTGACCCTGAGGAAACCACAGTGAACCGAACAAACAAATCTCACTTTCATGGAACTCTAGTAGAGCTCTACAATAAACACAAATTAAATAAAGTAAGCAGTATGTTAGACTAGTAATGAGTGTAGTGGAGAAAACTCAGAGATGAGGGATTGATTGGAGTTGTAATTTTAAATAGCATAGTCAAGACAGACCTCACTGAGTAAGTGACATTTGAGCAAAAACCTGAAGGTGAGGGAGTGAACCAACCATGTGGATAACTTGAGAATGTTTCAGGCAGAGAGAAGGCCATGTGCAAAGGCCCTGAGGTAGTAAGTGTATCTAGGGAACAGAAAAGAAGCCAACAGTTGTGGCTAGAGTGGAGTGAGTAAGGGGAGTGGGGGAGATGAGGTCGGAAGATAAGGTATGTGGTCAGATTGGATAGGCCTTGTAATCCAACATGGGTTTTTAATTCTCATTGAGGTGGGAAGCCATTAGAAGTTTTGAACAGTCAAGAGGCATAATTTGACTTAGATTCTAAAACTAGCTGATACAGGTATATACTTTGGAGATCTTGGAGTTTGGTTCCAGATCACCATAATAAAGTGACTGTGGCAACACAGGGAATCTGAAAATTTTTGGTTTCCCAGTGCATATAGAAGCTATGTTTATACTTGCTGTAGTCCATTAAGTGTGTAGTAGCATTATGTCTAAAAAAATCAATGTCCGTACCTTAAATGGGACACAGACAGGAAGTGAGCACTTACCTTTGGATAAACGGTACATGTAGACTTGCTGTAAAGTTCCCACGGACCTTCAATTTGTTTAAAAAAAAAAAAAGACACCATTTGTGAAGCACAGTAAAACAATGTGCAGTGAGGGATTCCCTGTGTGTTGAAAGTAGAAGATGGCAAGAGGTTATTGTAAAAAAATGAGTTAGTCAGTTGGACCATCATGGTAACATGGAGGTGGTGAGGGAATGGAGTACATTTTAAGGTAGGACCACTGGATTTGGTAACAGGTAGATGTGGGGTGTGAGATAAATAGGAATCAGAATGATGCCAATCATTTTTGACCTGCTCAACTTGAAAGATAGAGTTCTGATTTCAAGATTTTTGTTTTCGGTATATTAGGTTTTCAGACTGTTATTAGTTATCTAAGTGGATGTTGAATAGAAAATGACTCTGAAGTTCAGGGTCTCTGTTACCAGAGTTATAAATGTAGATGATATTTAAATTCAAGAGACTCTGCGTGTTGATGGAAACGACTAAACCCTGGGGCACACAAATGTTAAAGAGATTGAGGAGATGGGAAAGAACCAGCAAAAAAACTGAGAAGGAATGACCAGTGAGATATGAGAAAAGCCAAAAGAGAATGATATCCAGGCCTCCCCTGGTGGTGCAGCAGTTGAGGGCTGGGTTGCTAGTTTGCCCGCAGCCTCTGCAGCGCCGGTTCGATCCCCGGCCACCCGCGAAGGTCCCACAAAAAAAAAAAAAAAAAAAAAAAAAAAAAGAATGATATCCTGGGAGCCAAGTGAGGAGTTGCTCAGGGGAGGGAATGATAGCTGTGGAATGCTTTAAATGTTGAACCTGTTAGGTGAACTTTTGAAGAATTTTGTAGGAGCAGTAGGGGTGTAAGCCAGGTGAGGTTTGAACTGCTTCTCCCTATTTTCCTGACCTTTGCTTTTAACCTTTCAGACTTTATGCTGCTTTCTTGCTCTCATGCAAACAAGGCTCAGAGTACCTACTATGAGGGTGGACTCGTGTGATAGAGTGCCTGTCTTTTAAGGAGCTTACAACCAAGTGGAAGGAGCAGGCTTCTAAACGTTCATTTCTGTGGAAACTCAGAATCTGTGGGGTAGGAACTTCCAAGGTGGGAGAAGAGGAAAAGGAATGTTTCGGGGACAGGAATTAACATTTGCCAAGGCAAAACCTGAAGAAATACGTGCAATTTTAATAATAGGGCAGTAGCTGTGTGTGCTTGGAGTTTAAAGGCCTGTGAGAGGATGGCAGAACAAGAGCATGGAAGGATAGGATTTGCCAGAATTTGAACGGTCTTCTGAACTGTGCTAGGAGTTTCTTCTATAGGCAGTGGGAGGTTATTGCAGACTGGAAACCAGATGTTCCAAACCAGATTAATTTTTCAAAAGAAACTGGCTGCTAGAATGAGCAAATAGAAAATTCCATAAAGGAGGCACTTTACTATGTATGTCTTGGTTGCTGCAATACCCATCATGCCTTGTATCTGGTAAGTTTGGCATAGACTAGTTTTATAGCTATTGTAGTAGTTGGAGAGAGGGAAATTTCAGGCCTGAACAGAAAGAATGGCGAGACAGAGAAGTGATGGTTTGAGAGAAATTTTGGAAGTGGAATTGACAGGACTTGGGGACCTTTTGAAGGAGTGAGGGGTAAAGAGATGTAGAGGATAACAGTGAGGTATATAATTTGGACACTGACTCTGAAAATTGAGGATGGGCATAAAGGAAGAGGAGGTCTGCAGAGCTTAAGGGTGGTATGTGTGGAGTGCCTCGGAGATATACAGAGATAATTCTGGTGTGGATTAGAACCTGTGCCTGAAGTCAAGAGAGAAATAGGAGCTGAGGTTTCAACTATGAAAGTTGGTAACTTGGGGCAGTTTTTTAAGTTTTGGAATGAATGAAGTTGCCCAATGAAAGTCTGACTAATGAGAAATAGACTGGTAAGATCTTAGTGTGACTCTTCCTTGTTTTATTTCCTCTCACACTACATCACCCCACATACCCTGATGACTCTCCTCAGACAGAATTAGTCACTGCCTCCTCTGTATGCTCTCATAACAGTTTGTACCCTTAACTGCTGCAGCACTTGCATTCTATTGAAATTGTTTGCACATTCAATACCTTCCCAGGATTGGCCATTTCATGTCTTGTTCATCTTGCATCATCAGCACCAAACCCCCTACCTGACCCATTGTATTCATCCCGTGTTTACCAGAAATTTGAATCCTGTGCTGTAATATTCATATAAAAGTTAGTCATCAGTACCAAGGAAATATATCAAACTGCTTTTATAATCAAATCAAGAATTAGCTGGTTCTCTGGCACAGGTGGCGCCCCACCCCCTAAACAAATCAGAGTGAAGTACCTATTCAGGAAACTTGAACCGGGAAAGGTGCTAACTCCTGTCCTATTGAAGTTAGATAATTTTTAAAGGGATTTTTCTTGTAGTTGTGCTGCCCTAAGTCTTATTAATCTTACCCTGAAGGTTCAGAGAGCAGCATGTAAAGAAAATTGGTCAGTGCAGTAGCAGCTGGTAGCTGCTACTGGCATGTGTGATGAAGCCATATTCCCTGTGTGATTGAAAATTATAAACGTGGTATCTCAAATACCTTAAAGTATAAAAAATAAAGTGCTTAGCCTGTCTTTTGAGTATATTCATCATTGACATGTATCATCACTTTCCAAAGCCAGTTATTTTATATTTACAAACGTAAATTGCAGAAAGGATTGCTGTAGGAAATATTGTCAGTGAGTCATGTCAGACCATTCTCATTTTGATTTTCAGAGACCCTGCTAAAGAGAAAACTTGCATGTTTTTGTAGTTTAAAAACTTACACATAAATCAGTGGAGAGCTTCCCTAGTAACATGTCCCTCAGCATTCAAAATTAGTGACAGTGTCACTAAGATGCATCTTTTACTGAATATACTGGGTAAAGAAGCCTGAAGGAGCAGGCAGATACCTATTTGTTCCAAACACTGTATGTTGGATTCTCTGTTTCTGTGATTCACCTCGTTCTTTCCATCCATCTCCATTCTCAGTACCTGGGTAGATACTCAGGACACAAAGAGAATAAGGTCTTCAAAAAGCTAGCTTCTAGTCTAGCTGGGGAGAATGATGAGTCAACAAATAATTACAGTGTAATACCTTGGTAAAGCAGAGCATGCAATAATTAACTCTGGTTAGGGATGAAGTGGAGCTGGAGATAGTTCAAGGAGGCTTCAGGGAGAAGGCGGCAGTGAAAGGATGAATCAATTGAGGAAAGTGGGGGTGGAGGGCATTTCAGATCAACAGAAAGATGAGTTTGGGTGGTATTCTGGAAGCTGTTAGGACTTCCGGGAGGAGGGGTGGGGGAGATAAAGTTTGCCATGAGAAGAAAAGGATCAGGGCAAACATATTAAATTTCTTTTAAGCCTGCTGAGTGATTTTTATTAAGTTTTCCCAGAATGCTTTTAAGAATGCAGTGCCTATCTGATCCTGGGTGCTTAGTTTCAGGGTTGGGTTGCAACCTAATTCATCATTTTAGTTACATTACCTGCCCCTTAGTAACTTCCATAAACATCTGTTTATAGCGAATGAGTGAGTGACTGAATGCAGCACCAAATGTAATTCCTGAAATAAAGGCTTTAAATTTTCTTTAGAAGAATGTTTTCTTGTTTAAGTTAGTTTTGTATTTATTGCTTTTGTTTGCTTTTTGGTAAAAAGTTTCAGATTTGGGTTTTTTCCCCCATGTTTTTGCCTGGAAGTGATGATATAGTTAAGAGGTTCCCTCAAAATATAACCATATTAAATTTAAAATAATATAACATTATTTTGAGTGTTACTCAGGTACTCTCTTACTACCAGATTTTAGCATAATGTAGCTACAGCATGTTTATAGAAAAATTTGTGGGAGGAAAAACCCATGACTTAGGAAAGATGAACTTTAACAATAGAACTCTTAGGTCTAACATGTGGAGTGATAATCCTGGTGCTAATAGAAGTCAGCATGTTGAGGTAACATACTACCCCCCACCTTTTTCTTTAAATCATGGCACATAGAACAAAGTACAGCGATTGCCAAGGCCTTAAAGGGATGCTTTGATGCTGCTTTTGACGTCTGACAACTCCAAATTTTATGATACTGAAAGATAACAGTTAAACTGGGATCTAACTAAGTCATGATCATGAAGTCTAAGAGGCTTGTCTCTGCAGAGACCTGACAAAAGGGGGAATTGGTGAGTGCGGCTCAGTGCTACCTGAAGAAGAGAGGCTTTTGGTGGACACAGGAGTTCTGGTCACTAGAAGGACGCCATTGTAGCAGTGGACACCCATGCTTACAAAGTCCTGGCAACACTTTACAACATAGGTCTTAAAAAAAACTATGAAGCTCAACCAGGAAGAAAACAACTATTAAAACCAGGTAACACAGCACTAAAAAAAAAGTGATGCTGTGTCATTTGTACACAAATATATAACTGCATTATTTTTGTTAAAATACCCCACCTGTGTGGGCAGTGCCTGGCACAGGCCAGTTCCATTGGAATGTAAGTTGAGAAATCCTGCCCTTTGGTAAATTACTCAGGCTCCCAGCAACATGGATGGCACAACCTGGGACCTTCCATCCTCAAAAAAGTAAGCTTCTGGGCCTCCAGCAACATGGCGCGCAGACCTCTCCTGCCATGCTCTCATGTACTTCGGTCCTTCTAAAAACTGTATCCAGTGCATGTCTGCCTGCTTCTGTGTACTAAGCTGGCTTTCCAAAAGCTTTGGCATGGGGAACTCCCATGCAGTGTGGGGAAGTTACCCTGATGTGATTGTTCCAGTAACTGGAACTGTTATTTCCCATCACATCTTAATTTGCTGGCATTCTGGGGTTTTTTGTGTGTAAATAGCACGAGTTGTGTTCGTTGAGTCCTGGCTGCCCTCAGATGAATTGGTAGCGTCTGATCTCAGCAGAGAAACAGTGACCTCAGAGCCCTTCCTCAGCAGTGAAGCTGTGACCTCAGAGCCCTTCCTTTCCATCTACAGTAGTTTCTTAGGTAATTGTTTTTAACTGCTGAAAAAAATCTAAGTCACTCAGTCCCACCTATCTCATCAATTGCCTTCATCTTTTTATATCAGTCAAAATAGTTTTTCAGCTGATAGAGACCATGTTTTAGACTTAATCGACAACCTGCAATCTAAATATTGACCCTCTGTGCCAAATATCTTAAACTTAGGGCAAGCAGGTGTCTGATAATATATAAATTCAACTTATTTGTAATTCCTGTCACTCTGTTAGGTACATTGACAAGCCCAGAGAGTTTTATTAGTAGTATGGAATATGAGTTTGGAACCTCTGTTCAAAAAAACACCACCTTTGTTGGTTTTGATTATTAGATTGTTCTGCATAACAATTTCAGTATGCATCAGGATCACTTTGGGGCATAGTTTGAAAATGTGGAGTACTGGGGTCCAACCCTAGAGATTCAAATCCTGTTAGGAAACCAAAATTGAGACCCATGAAACAAAACAATTAAATGCTAAACATACCATAGGTGTGGCTAAATTCCAATTTAGCATGAGCTAGAGAAGGCCTGAACTTCATGGTAGTGATGGAGCCATAGGCTTGGTAGGGGAAAACGTTTAGACACAGACCTAGAAGAGCAGGGGAAGGCATTTATTCATTGGAGAGTGGGAAGAATAGAGGCTATGCAAATGTGCAAAGGCACACAGGAGTTGGGTGGAGGTGGCACTGAGGGATGAGCGTGACTGTACCAAATGCAGATTCATGTTGTTTGTTCTTACCCTGTGTGTTCAGAGAGGAGTTGGAGTGGTGTGTGTTAAATGTCACGTATTGAATGTGTGGGCTTTTCTGCTGAGACATCTCACTCCTGATCAGTAACCGAGAGGGCTAACAGAATCAAATGGGCAGGTGCCACTGTTCTTTTCTTGGTTCCATTTGGGTTTCTCCTGAGGGTAGAACTCCCTTGAGAAAGGTTCTCTCTGATAGAAGAAATTGAGCTCCCAAACACAGTCAGGGTTCACTGCAGGAGTCCATCTAAGCAGAATCTTCAATGATTGAGAAGGAATTGGGTCATGAGGAAGGTGCTCCAGGAAATGGGAAAATATGCAGTCACATTCCCACAAGAGAACATGGCATGATTAGAGTTGAAAGGAATTTTATCAGGCAGGAGCCTAGGATGCCTGAAGGGGAGCTGAAGCCAAAGAGATGAATGCAGGGGCCAGACCTCGAGGTGTGTTGTAGACCGTAGTGTTAGATTTTGTTGTTAAGGCAATAGGAAGCTGTCATAGGGTCTTAAGTAGTGTTATTTTATGTTCTGTTTGAATGACTGGACTGAAGAGGGCAAAGGCCACATTGGGAAAGTAAGAGATAAGAGCCTGGTCTTGAGCACAGAGGTGGGAATGGAGAGAAAAAGACAGGAAATTTAGAAGGCCGGTCCAAAGGACCTGGTAGCCATTTGAGTTTTGGTAAAGGAGCAAGTTCTGACTGTGAGTGGATAGTGCTACTATACCCTGAGGTCTGGAATATAAGCAGAAGCTCAGTTTAGTGGGGAAGGTGAGTTCATTTTAGGGAGTATATAGACTGAGGTGTTTGTGGGATTTCCAGATGAAGATTCTGGAGGCCAGATATTGAAAATGGGAAAAGATAACTTGAATGTTGTGGTGCCAGGTTGGTTTCAGCTCCAAAATCTCTCTCAAAGCGACCCTACTTTCCACCTTCTCTGCCGTTTTAGTTCAAGCTACTTTTAACTTTCTGCTGGGCTGCCCACTTCTTTATGCATCCATTCTTACACAGCTGGCAAAGTAATCTTTTAAAAATGAGGGCCTCCCCAGTGGTGCAGTGGTAGAGCGCTGGGTTGCGAAGCTGCCCACAGCCTCTGCAGCGCCGGTTCGATCCCCGGCTGCTCCCCGGCCACTGGAGGAGGGTCCTGCATGGCGTGCAGACCTCTCCTGCTGCCCGATGCTCCCCTCAGCAGTGTACTTCAGTCCTTCTGCCTGTTCTGCTCCCTGCGCTGGCTCTGGTGAATTCTCTCACCCTCCCGCGCTTCTGACTGTACCCAGTGCTTGTATAAATAAATAAATAAATAAATAAATTAAAAAAAAAAAAAAGACCTTTAAAAAAAAAATGAGATGGAAACTTGACATTTCCTTGTTTAATTAAGCTCGGTCATCACTGACTTCTCATTGCCCTTAGAATTCTAACTTCTTAGCAGAACTAGAAGGCCCCAATCACCTGCCCGCATGCCTGCTGCCTCTCTGTACTCATATTCTCCCTCTCATGACCACGCTGGAGGTGCACTCTCTTCTTCAAGGCCATACATGTCTTTTTCTTGTTGTATGACAAGTTCTTTCTCTTTCCCTGGCCTGTGTTCATGCTGCTCCCTCTGCCTGGAATGCTGTTCCCCCACCCACAGTCTGGCTAATTCCTCATCTTTTAAGTCTTACCGTCGATGTCATTTTTTCAAACCTCCTGCGCTGTATTAGAGCCATCTTGCGTTTTTCTTTCCTAGCACTTAACACATAGAATTCCTATAAGTTACTTGTGTGTCATTAATAACTGTCTCCCATATAAGTTCTGTGAGGGCAAAATCCCTCCTGGGTTTTGTTAACCATTGGACCTCCAGCACCAGAGAGTCCAGGCATGTGGTCCCACACCAGAGAGCCCATGAATATTGGTTACATTTGTTGAATGAATGAGAATAATAATCTTCATCTTCTATCTGGAAAAACTTGCAATTCTCACACTGTCACAGAATAAATAGGACCGTGATTCAAGCTTTAAATTTATGTAGCTGATTTCATCAGTGTTTGGCAGCCTGTCATTTTCAGCTATTATTAAACTACTCTCCTCTGGGACGTTGGGACATTAAAATTGTAAGTAAAGTCTAAGGGTATTTTTCTTCCCTGTTGCCTGTGTTCATTATGGGGACCAGTTGGCCTAGACTGGTCACACTGTCATCATTGTGACAGTGGTATGGTGACTGGCTTTGAAAATTGGAAAAACTGGCACTGGTTTTCTTACATTGGGCATTTATGGCATAGTTCAGTAGCAGCCCAACACATGCTGTTTGCATTGCAGCTGTGGGAAAGTCCACCTTTGTGAAGTTACTCACGAAAAGTTATCCAGAGTGGCACATAGCTACAGAACCTGTAGCAACATGGCAGAACGTCCAGGCTGCTGGCACCCAAAAAGTAAGTTTTCAGTGGCTGTGGTTAGTTGGCTGGCATGGGTGAGTAAACTAATTGTAATCATGTAATTTGCTTTGAGTAGGTGAAGTAGCCCAGTTTGACTCTCCTTTTTAAAATGCCTTCATTCCAGGGCCTCCCCGGTGGCGCAGCGGTTGAGCGCTGGGTTGCGAAGCTGCCCGCGGCCTCTGCGGCGCCGGTTCGAGCTGCTCCCGGCCAGGATCCCACATGAGACCTCTCCTGCCGCCCGCTTTGCAATTTCTCCATCAGTTGCTGTTTGTGCTCTGGCTCTGGTGAATTCTCTCACCCTTGACTGTGGCTAAATTGCCTATGACACTAGGGAGGATATGACTTGTTTGAATATGTTCTGTTTTTTATGTCTATGTGCCTTTTTCCAAGCATGTCTAGCGTCCCAGCTTTGAAGATTCATTTGTCATTTCTCCCCTTAGGTATTTGTATTATTATTACTGAAGTTGACCATCAAGAATAATAGTTGATTATAGTGATTTTTATTTTATTTTATTTTATATATTTCTTACATCATTTTTCATTTTTGTACATTATCTGCATTTTCATCTTGGTTATAGTCCCCAAACACCCTTGTTTTCCTCCTACTCCCTTCTCTTCCCCCCCATAGTGTGTCTCTGGTTTACAGTTGCTGTTGATTTTGATTTTTACTTTGTATTAATTAGTCTTTTTCCTGGTCCCTTATTTAGGTTTTCTAAATTCCTGCTATGAGTGAGACCATCCAGTATTTTTCTTTTTCTTTCTGACTTATTTCGCTGAGCATGATCCCTTCCAGCGCCATCCATGTTGCTGCAAACTGCATGTGTTTATCTTTTTTGATTGCTGAGTAATATTCCATTGTGTATATGTAGCACATCTTCTTGATCCAGTCATCTATTTTTGGGCATTTGGGTTGTTTCCATAGCTTAGCTATTATCAATAGTGCTGCTATAAACATTGGGGTGCAAGTGCCCTTTTGAATTAATATTTCTGTGTCCTTTGGGTAAAAGCCTAGGAGTGGAATTGCTGGATCATATGGAAGCTCCATCTTTAGCAGATTGAGGAGCCTCCACAAAGCTCTCCACAGTGGTTGGACCAGTTTGCACTCTCACCAGCAGTGCAGGAGAGTTCCTTTTTCTCCACAATCTCACCAACATTTGTTGTTGCTAGTTTTTTTAAAGTGTGCCATTCTCACTGGTGTAAGATGGTATTTCATTGTAGTTTTGATTTGCATTTCCCTGATTACAAGTGATGTTGAACATTTTTTCATATTCCTGTTGGCCATTTGCATTTCCTCTTTGGAGAAGTTTCTTTTTAGCTCTTCTGCTCATTTTTTGACTGGGTTATTTACTTTGTTTTTGTTGAGTCTCATCAGCTCTTTGTAGATTTTTGTGATCAGTCCTTTATCATTAGTGTTGTGTGCAAAAATTTTCTCCCAATCAGTGGGGTATCCTTTAGTTTTGGTTACTGTCTCTTTGCTGTACAGAAGCTCTTTAATTTGATGTAGTCCCATCTGTTTATCTTTGTCTTCACTATCACTGCTTTAGGTGATGTGTCTTTAAAGATGTTACTTATGTGTATGTCATGTAGTGTTTCACCTATATTTCCTTCTATGTATTTTATGGTTTCAGGTCTTATGTCTAGTTCTTTAATCCATTTTGAGTTGTTTTTTGTGCATGGTGTGAGGTAGTTGTCAAGCTTCATTCTTGTGATGTAGCAACCCAGTTTTCCCACCACCATTTATTGAACATACTTTCTTTGCTCCATTGCATATTCTTTGCTTCTTTGTCAAAGATTAGTTGACCATAACTCTGTGGGTTTATTTCTGGATTTTCTGTTCGGTTCCATTGATCTGTGATCTGTTCTTGTTCCAATACCATGCAGTTTTGATTATTATGGCTTTGTAGTATATTTTGAAGTCTGGGTGTGTGATACCTTCACTCTCTCATTTTTTTTTTAAGATTTATTTATATATATACAAGAACTGGGGTACAGTCAGAGGCATGGGAGGGTGAGAGAATTCACCAGAGACAGGGTGGGGAGCAGAACAGGCAGATGGACCGAAGACACTGCTGAGGGGAGCAGCGAGTCAGGCAGGAGAGGTCTGCCACGCCATGTGGGTTTCTCCCTGGCCAGCTAGGAATTGAACCCACTCTGCAGAGACTGTGGACAACTTCACAGCGTGGCGCTCAACTCGCTGCATCACCATGGAGGCCCTCTCCTTTTTTTTTTTCAGTTGAGCTTTGGCTATTTGGGGTTTTTGGTGGCTCCATATAAATTTCATCAATATTCGTTCTATTTCTTTGAAGAATGTCATTGAATTTTTTATTGGAATAGCATTGAATCTGTAGATTGCTTTTGGTAGGATGGCCATTTTGATAATGTTAATTGTTCCAGTCCATGAGCAGGGGATGTCTTTCCATTGCTTTGTGTCTTCTTCTATTTCTTTTATACGGTGTTTTATAGTTTTCTTTGTATAGGTCCCTTACTCTTTTGTTAGGTTTATTCCCAAGTATTTGATTTTTTTTTATTTCAATAATAAAAGGAATGGTTTTCTTGATTTCTTCTTCTTCAGATTTATTGTTTGTGTATAGGAAGGCTACTGGTTTTGTGTGTTGATTTTTTATCCTGCTATTTTACTAAACTGATTGATGAGTTTGATTAGTTTTTCTGTGGAGTTTTTGGAGTTCTTTATGTATATTATCATATCATCTGTGAATAGTGATAGTTTGACTTCTTCTTTCCCTATTTGGATTCATTGTATGTCTTTCTCTTGTCTAATTGCTCTGGCTAGGACTTCCAGTATTATATTGAAAAGCAGTGGTGAGAGTGGACATCCTTGTCTTGTTCCAGATCTTAAAGGAAATGCTTTCAACTTTTCACCATTGAGAATGATATTGGCTATGGGCTTGTCATATATGGCCTTTATGATGTTGAGGGATGTTCCTTGTATCCCGAGAATTTCAAGGGCCTTTATCATAAATGAGTGTTGTACTTTGTTGAAAGCTTTCTCAGCATCATATGGTTTTTATGTTTCTTTTTGTTGATGTGTCGGATTACACTGACTGATATTCGGATGTTGAAACATCCTGTGACCATGGAATAAATCCTACTTGGTCATGGTGAATTATCTTATGGATACATTGTTGGAATCTGTTAGCTAAATTTTTTTTTTAAGATTTATTTATTTATACAAGCACTGGGTACAGTCAGAAGCATGGGAGGGTGAGAGAATTCACCAGAGCCAGTGCAGGGAGCAGAGCAGGCAGAAGGACCGAAGTACACTGCTGAGGGGAGCAGCGGGCTGCAGGAGAGGTCTGCGCGCCATGTGGGACCCTCTTCCAGTGGCTGGGGAGCAGCTGGGGATCGAACCAGTGCTGCAGAGGCTGCAGGCAGCTTTGCAACCCAGCGCACAACCGCTGCGCCACTGGGGAGGTCCTGTTAGCTAAAATTTTATTGAGGATTTTTGCATCAGGGTTCATTAGAGAGATTGGCCTGTAATTTTCGTTTTTTGTGTTGTCCTTGTTTGGTTTTGGTATTAGTGTAATGTTGGCTTCATAGAGCGTGTTTGGTATTATCCTGTCCTTCTCAATTTTTTGAAAGAGTTTGTGAAGGATAGGCAATACTTAGTTTCTAAATGTTTGGTAGACTTCATTTGTAAATCCATCTGGTCCTGGGCTTTTGTTTTTGGGGAGGATTTTGATTACCATTTCAATTTAACTGCTTGTAATTGGTCTGTTTAGGTAGGTGTTCTATTTCTTCTTTATCTAGCTTTGGGTGATTGTGAAGTTGTAGGAATTTGTCCATCTCTTCTAGATTGTTGAACTTGTTTGCATATATAACTGTTCATAGTATTTTCTGATTATTCTTTTGATTTCTGCAGTGTCTGTTGTGATTTCTCTGTTTTCATTCGTGATCCTATTTATTTGTGTTTTCTCCCATTTTTCCTTTTGAGTCTGGCTAGGGGTTGTCTATTTTATTTATTTTTCAAAGAACCAACTTTTGGTTTCATTGATCTTTTGGATTGTTTTTTTAGTTTCTATTTCATTTATTTCTGCTTTGATTTTTATTGTTTCCTTTCTACTACTGGTTTTAGGGTTTTTTTGTTGTTCTTTTTCTAGTTTGTTGAGATGTGCGATTAGTTTGTTTCTTTGAGTTCTTTCTTGTTTCTTTCTCTTTTTTTTTTTAACAGGTTTTTTTAACAGTTTTTTTTTTAAAGATTTATTTATTTATTTATACAAGCACTGGGTATAGTCAGAAGCACAGGAGGGTGAGCGAATTCACCAGAGCCAGAGCGGGGAGCAGAGCAGGCAGAAGGACCGAAGTACACTGCTGAGGGGAGCAGCAGGCGGCAGGAGAGGTCTGCATGCCATGTGGGACCCTCCTCTGGTGGCCGGGGAGCAGCCAGGGATCAAACCGGCGCTGCCGAGAACTGCGGGCAGCTTCGCAACCCAGTGCTCAACCGCTGTGCCACCAGGCAGGCCCTCTTTCTTGTTTCTTGATGCGAGCCTGTATTGCTATATATTTTCCTCTTAAAGTATTTTTGAATTTCTTCTTTGATGTCTTTGTTAGTCCAGTGGTCTTCCAGAAGTGTGGGTTTCAATCTCCATGAGGTAGGAGGGTTCCTTGCTGTTTTATGGTTTATTTCTAGTTTGATGCCTTCATGGTCAGAGAAGAGGGTTGGTATTGATGTTGGCACCAGATGACGTGAAAGAGCCCCATGTTGGGTGCCAAAATGTTGTCGTTTTGTGGAGTTGCAGGTCCTTGGGTTCACTCTGGGAAAGTTTTCATCAGAGCTCCCATTTCAGCGGCACATGGCAAGTTCCCCAGGTAAGTTTCTCCATGAGACAGAGACATTAGTTATATTTAAAGAACAGGCTTATTAGGGAAAGGGAAAGGGACAGGTTTGCTAAGAGAGGCCTGCATGGTTGCAGGTGTGAGCGGCCTTCACAGGTCACAGGCAGGCAGGAAGCTGCTACCCTGCCAAGGAAGAGAGTTGG